TTAATATTTTGTAAATTGATACCTAATAAACTAGAGAATTCACTATTTTTAATGGATTTATCATAATTATATTTAAAAGATAGGATAATGGAAGCAATAAACATTGTTCTTTGTACATTAATAAATAAGATATCATCCACGTAGATATCCTCGAGTAGTGATTTAGAACCATTTACAATTTCTTTAATTCTTGAAATGTAAAGAAGAACCATCGTAAGAATATTATCAATACATTTAGTATCTTTCAAGATTTTTTTGACAAAATCATAGATTTCTTGATCAGGATTTTTGTTAAATGTTTTACTCAAGAAGATAACAGTTTTCTTTGTATAATAATAAATTTCATTTGGATTCATCTTGTTTAGTTATAAATTTTATATCATGTTTGGTTGAATAAGTTTTGGAATAAGTTTTGATTTTGGACCACGTTTTTTTTGGGCTTTAAGGGTACATTCGATGTTGCTTGATACACAGTATCGACAAGGTTTATTTTGATTACAACGTTTTTTTTTTTTTGGCACAGTTAATACAAGCATTGGAGATTCTTGTGATAGTCATTTTATAGAGCATGGTAAAAAATCAAGGGAATTTATTTAAAATTTGTGTGATGCAATAATGGAGATAACCATAAAGGGTTATCTAATTTTTGTGATGTATATATATTCAAAGTGTACTGGAAATATGATAGGTAAGATGTGAATTTACAAGACTGATTGTTATGGTGGTCGACATGATCGACATGGTGGTCTTCACAATTAGATCCATGAATTTGAAGAAGATGGTCAAAGGTATCTTGAGGTTAAACTCAATGATAAACATGACAGTGTCATGCTTTGTGACGTGAAGGATTATGAAACTGTTATCTCACGAACATAATATGCAAGAACTAAAGGACATGGGCTTCGTTATTATTGTATGGATAGATTCAGAAAATTATTTCATCATGTGTTACATCCTCGATGGGCCATTATAAGTCACTCTAACCATAATACCTTGAATAATCATCAATTTAATCTGTTTGATGGTTATATTCGTTATAATTCAACCAAAAATTGTTTTGAAACAAATGGTGTATATTATGATAAAATAAGAAAGTGGTGAAGAGTTACTTGGCAAGAAAATAGAAAAAATAGATGTAAGTATTTTCGTGGTTCTAAAAATAATAAGAAGGTTAGGGAACAAGCCATTCAATTTCGAAAGACTATTAATGAACAATGAATTTTGGAAAGAACATGCGTGAATAATGACGAAGTTGATAATGAGCAAGTTTCAGTTCAGATAGAAGATTGATTGTATAATTAAATTTGTGTTCTAGAAGAAGGAGGTGGGAAATATCTTGAGGTTAAACTTAGCGATAAGCATAATCACGTGATGCTCTGTGATATTGAAGATTACAAACTTGTGACCTCACGTAAATGGTATGCAAAGAGCAAAGTCAAGAGTGAAGATGGATGTTATCATTGTGTGGATGGAGATTCTGTGGCATTTCATCATCTACTATATCCTCAATGGGCAGTGATCAGTCATATTAATAAAAACCGATTGGATAATTGATGGTTCAATTTATGTAATGGTCATATTCATACAAAGACATATAGCAATAATAAATCTGGTTATAATGGAGTGTGCTTTAATCGATCAAAGCAAAGGTGGATAATCACATGGTACAAAGATTGTAAAAATAAAGTTAGATACTTTCCTGGTACCGAGAGTGACGAAGAATCAAAGAATGAAGCAATTCAATTTAGGAAATCAATTGACACCCAGCGAATTCAAAATACAATATCTGAAATTGATGACTTAAAGGAAGGTAAAATTTACGATTCGAATAAGAATATCAACAAAGATTTTAATGATCATTATTACACTCAAGAAGAAGATGATGAGATTTTAAATTTCATGGAATTAGAGGAGGATGATGTTAATATTGGTCATAAAGATTATATCAATCCAGAAGAGGGTTTGAATATTGAATTAGTATCAATGAATACTTCAGAACACATGAATAATCAGAAGTATAATATAGAAGAGGTATTCGATTTTGAGAAGTTTAATGATGATTAATTTAACAAACAAAGTTGGATTGATCAATTTTTAGATATGTAATCTGATAATAAATTTTATAAATAAAGTTATCATTTTGCTAAAAAGAAATGTTATTTTATGATTTTATTGATTAAATAAAAGAAGATGTAAAGATGCGAAAGAGAATTATATAAAATGAGAAAAAGAGAGTTATTCGAATTTTAATTATTATTTCATTGTATTTTACTTTAAATTGATAGAAAAGAAATACGTTCATTACTATTAAAATGATTATGATTGATAGAATGATAAGAATTTATCATATTTATCTTAGAAGATTTACATGTGATTAATGATTTATTTGGTGATAAATAATATGTTTGTATGATAAGATTTGATTGTCGTTTTCTATATTTAGTTTTAAATAATGTTCTACAAGTATAAAATTCCATGTTATTACTTATCTTTGTTTTCAAAAATCATAAAATATGGATACCTGAGCATGACCTCCTCTTGGTGTATCTGGATTTTAACTAACGATGCTCAATTTCCTCCTTACTTCGCTTTAAATTTCTTGAGGTGAATACATTTCTTGATTCTATATTTAGTCTTCAATAATATGTTTTATGGTACATTGATGGTATAAATTTAAATCTTAATCTCAGTTTTTGATAAGATACCATGCCATCCTTCAAAGGTGAGCAATCAATATTTTATTTGAAACATGTTATTATCCGTTGTGAAAGGTACTATTTATGAAAAAAAAAAAAAAAAAAAAGTCACAAAGAGACTGCGATATTCTCAAATTAAATATAAGAGGGTTGGTGTACCTTACGATAATGGTAAAGGAAAATTTTTCAGGAAAAGACCTGTGGTAAGTTGTTCACTAAGTTTTATTATAGAGGTTATGAAATTGAAAGCTATTCGTGGCCACATTCTCGAAATAAAAAAGTGGGCTTATGTTTTGGAGATTTGAATGTTCTCTCGTAATATCTTGATAATGGATTTCCATTAGATGATGGAGTCTTGTTCATAGTTCTTGGAGAGACTTATAAGATTGAAAGCACATCGTTGGTCAAATCCTACAAACACTCGAGGAGTTCATTGATTTTATTTCTAGATAGTGAACGTTCTTTCATAATATCTTGATAAACTTATTAGTTTTTAAATTTCAGGTTCACTATCGAAGTTTTTGAAACAAATGATTGGATTTATAGTTGCATCTTCATTTACATCTGGTGTAATAGAATGGGTCAAGATATCAAAATTTTATAATTATTTGAATTTTGATTATTATTTTATTGTATTTTGCTTTAGGAATCTTATTTGAAAAAGATATTGCAAGAAGATTAAAGAATACTGATATTCATTATTGCCGCGTTGGTGGTTCAAATGATCGTGGTATTGATATAGAGGCTGATATATCTGATATTCGTTTTGTTATTCAATGCAAGAATTGGGAAAATACAATAGGTGAGTAATAACTTACGAATAATTATTTTTATTATATGAGAGAGTCCTAGCCTGTAGTTCTCAGGGGGATTGTATAGATTTGAAAACACATCGTGGCCACTTTGGGTTGATATATATATTTAATCGATGTATATATCTAGCATTGTGAACGTTTGTCTGTATGTCTTAATTATAATGGAAATTATTATTCATATAATATTATCAATTTAGGTATAAATATTATTCGTGAATTAGAAGGCACTTTATTACAACTTCCAAAAGAACGAATTGGAGTTTTAGTGATCAATTCTAAGAGTTCATATACACCAGCTGTAATTAAAAAAGCAAATGAGTCAAGTTTTGATATTATTTTAACTGATGGAGTAGGTATATATAAAGAATTGATTGATTTTACAAAAAAAAAGAAAAAGGCGTCATTGGATTATTATTTTTTTTTATTATTATATATTTCTATAATAATTATTATAAATTCTTTATTTATGATATATATTATAATAAATAAGATACTTTGATACGTCTTGATATGAGAATTATTATTTATAGATTAAATGGATTTTAGGATCAATATTATGATATTTTTAAAAGAAAATGAATATTTTAATAAAACAGAAATAATCATATCATTGATAAATCTATATATTGTATATTATTTATTTTGTCCGTTACTATTATTGATATTTTTATCAATATTATTTTTGAAATCAATTGTTTCTTCTTTTTTTGTAAAATTTACTTTATGATATTTACCATTTTCCCTCCAAACAAATTGCCATTTACAAATAAATTTATCATAACTTACACCATTAATACCAGAGGTATTGTTTTTGTATAATCTACAGTTTTTTTGATTTATACCATTCGATCCATCCCACAAGTTACATTCTCGATTATCCAATCCATTTCGATTAATATGATCTATATATCTCCATTTAGAGTGTAATAGTTGATGAAATGAATAATTTTCATTATTTTTAGAACAATAAACATAATAATTATTTTCACTTTTTTGTGTACACCATGTATATTTATGAAGAATTTTATAGTTCTTGATATCACAAAACATAGTTTTGTCTTGTGTAAGCTTGACTTCAAGATACACGATACTTT